CAATGATTTTCTAGTGCTTCCAGTGGCCCTGCTCCAGAAGCCCTTCTTCGACCCGGATCGCCCTTTTTACCTAAACTACGGTTCCATCGGTGAGGTGATCGGTCACGAGATAACTCATCACGTAGACGGTGAATTTACAATAGTGGGAGTGATGAAACAGTGCTTGCGCTAATCATGTAATGCTCTTCAATATTAACCACGCGTAGATGAGGGCAGTCAGCACGATCAGTTCGGCGATCTGAACAACTGGTGGACCGAGCACACCAAAAACCGTTTTTCAGAGGCGTCCACCTGTTTCATTGAGCAGTACGGCTCAATTGTCGATTACAAAACGGGAAAAAAGGTAAATGTTGGCTGGTTGGCTGAATTGGTAAACTGTCCGTGGTAACAGTGATAAAACTCTTCACAGGTGAACCCCATCAACACGCTTGGCGAGAACATTGCCGACAATGGAGGTAATCACAAAACTGTACTAAATTGGGAAAATTTTAAATCACGATATTTTAATTCAAAAACGCAGCGGTTCGTGAGGCTTTCTACGCCTTTCAGTCAAAGTCCAAACGAAGCAAGCTTCAGCTGGTGCCCAAAATGGAGGCATTCACCTTTGAGCAGCTCTTTTTTATCTCCTTAGGACAAGTATTGGCTGTTGTTGTTGTTGTTGGCAAAAACGTACTTTGTATACTAACCCTTTTAATTTGCAGAATTACTGCTCCAATGACCGTATAGAGGAGCTGAAGCGAAAGCTGGACGTCGATCCGCACACACCAGATGAGTATCGAGCAAACATTGCTCTGGCCAACTTTGATCACTTTGCGAAAGCCTTCAACTGTCCTGCTGGCTCGCCGATGAATCCAGACGAGTCCAACAGGTGTCGACTTTGGTAGCAGTCGGTTTCAGTAAAAGAGAGAGAAAGTCTTTTTTCTCGGAAAAACAGGGCATGTGAACAGGGCAGACGCAACCGAACGGCAAAAAACCTCGATTTTGTCGATCAATGTCGATGCATGTAAATGTCAAAAATAAATGTACCATCATGAATGAGTGTGCGTATCTTCACTGGCGTCATCAATTGCAGCATCAAGCGCAGCAGCAGCAGTAGGAACAGACAGACACTGCTCCTGCTTCACATTGAGTAGTCGTCACTGGTGATAGTTCTTTGGCGTGGTTACCACTCTTCACTTCTCCACTTTATCATTGAACAGTGCACGGTGTATGCAGAAGGCAAAGTGAACACTTACCTAAATAAAGAATGAATTCAGTTTCAATTGAAGAATGTTCGGGTCATCATCGTACCACCACCAGCAGACAACTGACTTCAAACGGTGGCTCACCCTCAAAGTCCGTCAGTGTGTACCTGCAGGAGTTCCTGGCCCGAAAACAGGTGATCCCCTGCCGAAAGCCGCCGCTGTTCACCTTCGACGTCCTCGCCTTGGCCTTCTTCCGCAGCTACTTTGGCGTCGACCTGTACGATCAACTGGTGGCCCTGCTGAAGCGCTTCAACAAACAACAACGATCACTGTGGAACGCTGACACGAAGCTGAAGGGGCACATCATCAGTCAGTTTGGTGACACTCCCGAGGTGCTGCACTATGCCGACTGCTTTCTGCCTGCTGATTTGCACTTCTTTCAAGTGGACACTGTGGATGGCGGCAACAAAAAGCCCTGATGAAGTACAAAAGCCCACAGAATGTACACATCATCAGAGGCGATAATCACAGTACCTTTGAGTTATGTTTTCCCTAAACCTACAGTAATGTCATCATCATCATCATTTTTCTAACAATTATACCCCTTTTAAAAGTTCAGCCAGGTTCACTTTGCCCTTTCTCATAGATCATCATCATCATCTGACGTTTCCAGAGCAACCCCCGCGCAGTCAGTCAGCTTGGTTACCACTGCTGCTCTTCACCTGTTGTTGATGCTGCTGTTGTTGTTGTTACTGGCAACTCCCTCCAAAATACCTGCTCACGTGCAATGATAATAGTGAATGAGAGAGTGAGCAATAATACCAAGTGCGTCATTGTGTGAGGATGAGAAGACGAGTTCAACTAGAGCAACAAAATATAGCACGCTTTTTTGGATGGGGGATAATGTGTGAATGTCAGAGAGTAGTAGCCAGCAAACCAGTGAAGATGGTCCAGGAAAAGAAGACCACTAAAGAGCCTCCTCCTTCCCCATCACTGTTTTCGCCTGACCGTGAGAAGAGAAACCTTCGAGTGATTGCCGCCGTCAAGGAGTACATCGGCAGCAACCCCGGCCACCTTGAGTCCATCCTCCAGCTGTACTGCGTCTTTGATCGCCTCTTTCAGCTCTTTGACGCCTTCGGCCAGGAGAATGGCGCCGGCAGGCTGCACGCCTTTCTCGCCGTCCTGCTGCAGTTTACCGCCACCGCCGAGGAGCTGGACACCGTCTGGCTGAGTGTCCTCCTGCAGAACTTTGACCGAGATCGCCACTTTGTCCTATCCTTTGATCCCTTCTGCAGCCGACTCTTTGAGTATAAGTACTGGTTGTAGATCAACTTTTCAAACACATGTGCAGGCTTGAGTCGAGCAGGCTTTTTTGCAAGTTTTTTGCACTGAAACATTCTGTTTATCTTGTCAACTAAAAAATGTTCAGATTTGATTTGAATTTTAAAAATCAACGGCGATTCGCTTTACTATTGAAGTTTTGTTCACTACTAACAACTCTACTAAACACAGTTGCACTCAATACTGACGGTGATACAAACACATACTACTGCAGATAACAATGACTTAAGTGGAGAGAACTCTGTAGGGAGGATGAGTTTGCGAGCTTTGGAGTTGAGTTGAGGAGACCTTGGTGATCATTTTTTGTTTTTCTGTTTGCCATTCTGAAAGAAAAAGTGGATGAGAAAAGCGATCATTAGTTGGAGAAAAATTGAAAAAACAACCCAAACATGCAAAAAAGACAAACCTGTTTGGTAATGTGCATCTTCTCACGCATCGTCTCTGCTAGTCGCTCCTCATCAGTCTCAGCGGTCTTTGCAGCACTCTCCACAGTTGCAACGGACTGCTCATGTGGACTGTCGTACGGCTTGTCGCACTTGATGCAGTTGCTGCCCGGAGTAGAAGTGACAAGTGGATCCAGGTTGCCGCTTGCAGATCGGCTCGGGACCGGCTGAGGCGGCGGCGGCTGCGCGACAGACAGCTGAAAGGAGACGTTGCCGTCGGCGTCGGATTTGATCGGACCGAAGAACTCCCGGTAGGCCTGCTTCAGGGTGGGATGCTCGGCGTACAGCGCCATCAGCTGCTCGTAGACACGCAGGTAGATGAAGGGCTTGGTGCGCTCCTCGGAGTTCTGGTTGCGGTAGAAGACCTCCAGCGTGGCGGCGAAGAGCTCCTCGCTGTAGCTCTTCACCTGCCCGAGGAAGAGGAGAATGTTGGAGACCTTGTCCGGATCGTAGACCGGGTTGATCTGCTCCTCGGCGAGCACATCCGGCAGCATCGGCACCGGCATGCTGCCGCTGATGGGCACACTGGCGTCCAGTGGAATGGTCAGCTTAGAGCTCATCGTCGTCACTGACACTGGCATGGCAGCGACTGGCGAGCCAACCGGGGCCCCAGCTGCCCCCGCTCCTCCTCCTTCTAATGTGGCTGGACTAGAGATCGTCTGGGTTTGCTTGCTGCTCGAGCTGCTCGTGTTAGACGTGCCGGAAGAAGTGCTGGTCGTCGTTTTCGTCGTCGTCGACGCCGCTTCTGTTGTTGGTAGCTCAAACTTCTCCGAAGGTGGCAAGAAGAGATTGACGCACTGAAAGAGCTCCTCGTCAGGGCCAAACTTGGCCAGCAGCTCCTGCTTGACGCCGTCGTAGTCGAGGCGCTTCGACTGGNTCCTTCTAATGTGGCTGGACTAGAGATCGTCTGGGTTTGCTTGCTGCTCGAGCTGCTCGTGTTAGACGTGCCGGAAGAAGTGCTGGTCGTCGTTTTCGTCGTCGTCGACGCCGCTTCTGTTGTTGGTAGCTCAAACTTCTCCGAAGGTGGCAAGAAGAGATTGACGCACTGAAAGAGCTCCTCGTCAGGGCCAAACTTGGCCAGCAGCTCCTGCTTGACGCCGTCGTAGTCGAGGCGCTTCGACTGGAAGCCCTCCATGACCTGGACAAAGTCGCGGTACTTCTCATAGCCGTACTTGGCGCGGAAGAACTTGAGCGCCACGACGCCGGCCTCCACCTGCGGTCGCAGTTCCTCCTCTGACTCCGACAGAGAGGGGTGCTTGCTGACGTAGTCCCGCAGGTGCTCCTCCACCGAGGCCTGGTGATCAGGGCCCAGGTCGTAGTTGAAGCAGAAGGAGTAAAAGGGCGAGATCTGGTCAGCCGGTGCGGCTGTTGCTGCTGCTGTTGTTAGCTGGTATAGCGGGGGCAACTCGGCGATGGGCACCAGTCGGGCGTTGGCGAGCAGTTTATCGCTTTGGTACGACACCCCCTTCTCCACTACCGGTACAAACAGAGTAGGAACGGTGCCGTCGGCGACCATCGATTTCTCATTTTTTGGCGCCGCCTTTTTCGGGTCCATTTTGAGGGACTCGGCCGACACGGAAACCTGGCAGAGCTCTTTGGCGTGATCGACAACACGGGCGGCAGTGGCTGCCGGTGAAAGGCCAACTTTATAGGGAATGCGCAGCTTTATCTTCTTTGGCATACCTCTTATCAGCTCTGAAGTGGCTGGCAGTGCTCAAGCTGCTACTGAAATTGCACGGCTGAACTTTAAAATTTGCTGGTGTGCTCTGCTTTGCTTTGTTGTTGTCAGAAAAGGCTCGAGTCACGAGAGTTGCTTGAAAAGTGCCGGTACCGATAGCGCCGCCTACTGGACTGAAGCATCACTTCTCTCAGAAGCTGTTGATCTTTGGAACAAAAAAATCCGTCTTTAAAGAAGCCGTACAAAAAGAGATTCAAAAGCAGTGAAAGTTTATTATCGAAATGATGTAGACAGAAATGATAGTGGTCAATTGGAAATGATCAAGGGCAGTGTACACAAAGCAGTACACTTGCCTCACTTGGCGGAGGTGTACTTGGTGACGGCCTTGGTGCCCTCGGAGACGGCGTGCTTGGCCAGCTCTCCGGGCAGCAGCAGACGAATGGCGGTCTGCACCTCGCGACTGGTGATGGTGGTCCGTTTGTTGTACTGCGACAGGCGGCTCGCCTCGGCGGCGATGCGCTCGAAGATGTCATTGACGAAGGAGTTCATGATGGACATCGCCTTGGAGCTGACGCCCGTGTCGGGGTGCACCTGCTTCAGCACCTTGTAGATGTAGATGGCGAAAGACTCCTTGCGCTTCTGCTTGCGCTTCTTGATCTTGCTGTCGGTGACGCGAGCGGCTGACTTGCCCATGGCCTTGCCGGTCTTCTTCATAGTGGTGGTGGTGGTGGTGGCGGCGACTGGAGCCATTGCGAATTGATAGTGATGTGATGAGAGTGGTGTGAAATGTTGGGAAATGAGGTGTGCGCCTCGGCTTTTTATGTGTGCTTCTTGGGCGATTTGCGCGCCAAAATCAGTGGGAGGGAAGAGGGANTGGAGCCATTGCGAATTGATAGTGATGTGATGAAAGTAGTTTGAAATGTTGGGAAAATGAGGTGTGCGCCTCGGCTTTTTATGTGCGTTTCTTGGGCGATTTGCGCGCCAAAATCAGAGGGAGGGGAAGAGGGAGGTGACCCCTCTGAGACTTCTTGGTGTACGTTGTGTGTACAAGAAAGAATGCCCATGAGAGAGAGGAATTTTGAGGCAGCCAATCACCGCCAGTCATTTCGTGCCCCCTCAACTGATAGCAGCAGCTGAAGTCAGCTGGGAAAAGGAGAAGGCGCATATAAAAGCGGCTTGCCAGTCTTCTCGAGCTCACCATCATCTCTCATTCCCGCACCGCCGCCATCACCACCACTCACTCTCTCGTCCAGCTTTTTTTGCCTTTGTGCTCCCCATTCAACCAAATTCTCACTCCTCCTCATCATGTCTGGCCGTGGCAAGGGAGGCAAGGCGAAGGTCCAGTCGAAGTCGCGCTCCTCGCGAGCCGGTCTGCAGTTTCCCGTGGGCCGCATTCACCGTTTGCTGCGCAAGGGCAACTACGCGGAGAGAGTGGGCGCCGGCGCTCCCGTCTACCTGGCCGCCGTGCTCGAGTACCTCGCCGCCGAGGTGCTGGAGCTGGCCGGCAATGCCGCCCGCGACAACAAGAAGACGCGCATCATCCCGCGTCACCTGCAGCTGGCCATCCGCAACGACGAGGAGCTGA